TATATTACATACATATATACACACATACACCTTAGGGGCGAGTAACAAAAACAAAATAGTTAGACAGAAATATTCACCCCATTCACAGCCAAATAAGGATGGGGTGATTGCTTTATTTACAACCCACAGAATTGGAGTATAGTACATACACAGTTAAACCCAACACACAAAATATATACAAGAGTGTTAAGGCGGCTCTTTTCCATTAACCTCTCCCCATAGCTCCATATGCTCTGGTCATTCCTTTGAAAGGGGAGAGGTATAAAGCAGTGGTTTCGATACACATACAAGTCACTCATAGGCATTCTATGCAAAAAGTAAGGATAACTGCTCAACTATATAATTTCTCCTCCATGTAGAGGACAAGCAGTCAGATTGTACACAGCAGAAAAACGCAAAACAGACCTATGCACTCACTATGATGCCCAGCTCATGCCAACCTTTGGCTGTCAGAGAACAGGGAAACAATCTCTCACTTGGAATGCCTGTCTGGCACACATACAAATCGTCATATTGCACACAGAGCTCCAATCTCGCTCACTCGTTTCATAACAAATTGGAAAAATGCTTACACAAAGACATTCAACCTTATACACAATTCAAATATAGAAATATCAATATTCCTCTCTTTATACATAAATTGATATAAAAAGTTACTTTGGCTTTTGTGCTGAAAAAAAGGGATGTCACAAATTCTCATTTAAAAAAAATCCAAGCACGTCTCATCTAAGAGAAACCCGCCTGTTCAGTCCATTAGCCCCTTGGAGCGGCCAGCTGACATGGATATAGGCCTTCTAGCCAGGTAGAGCTCAACAATTAAGTTGGTACAGCTCAGAGGGGCAACAAAAATTCTCATGATCCTCCCAGGTATCCAAAGTGATTCTGGTCTGTTTCACATAGTTGGAGACTTGGTTTGGTCTCAAGAGGGTCTTTGGTACACTGGAGAGGCGGTCTGACTTTGAAGAAATCAGAAACATAACGTACCTGTGGAACAAAGATACAAAGATAAGTAAAATGGACTAATATGGGGGAATTTTATTTGACGGAATGACAAACTTTATAAAGACATTTTTCTTAAACTTGCATGTTTGAGATAGACTTTGGTCCCGTTCATACCAGATGCCTTGGGGCTGCGTTGGTCAGCTTTTCCAGCACAGCCCCAATGGCCAGACATGGCAATTTGGCTTGCTTTAAGTGGGCTCTGTTCCTGCAGGCAGTACATTTTTTTCTGAGCAGTGTGCAGTGTGGTAAAACTGCATCGCACCATGCTGTGCCAATAGAACTTACTGAAATGTCACCAGTTCTAACAATGTGGCACATCAGCACTGTTACCCGGTGGCACACACCAGAAGCTGCTCTTATGGTTATAAGGATTTTATAACCATAAGAGCAGAACAGTAAGTAATAACATGACCAGATAATTTTATTAAATAATGAAGGGGAGTAGAAGGTGCAACATCCCAAAATAATACATTTCACAGAACAAGGACAGACTTTTTACGCACCCACACGATCATCATGTTGATATGATAAAAAAATGTTTATTTTTTTATTCCATTATAAAATATATAAAAGTTTGATAAAAATAATTTCTGCCCACCGTTATTTCAAAGCCCAAACATACACATCACTTCCAAAAACTAATTTAAAATAAATAATCCAAAGTCCATTTATGCTACAAGCTGATCCAAGTTGATAGTGAAATATATGGAGGGATATGAAGAGCGCAACACGTTTTTATGGTATTGACCACTTCTTCAGTAGCAGCAGGGCAGAGAATATACTTAAAGGCTTAACTTGGACCTTCAATATCCACCTCCACTAACATTCCTAAAGATGGGTGCTAGTGCCTCAAAACATGTGGCTGGGCGCCAGGACACATAAATTACAGCCTCCTCAGTTCCACCATAGAGCTGAATATCCCTCACACAGAGGAGTCATCCCACACCAAGGACACAGGGCAAGGATGTGGAGGTATTTTGAAATATCATTTCAAATAGATATTTGTATTGTATACACAATACAGTGGCTTATTATGTTCTCAAAGTCAAGAAGTAACATAGAGCTGACTTACTGTGAGCGTAGCAGCAAGTGCCCCTTGAAGAAGTCCCACCAGAACATCACTCCAGTGGTGTTTATAATCAGATACACGTGTATATCCAACATACAAAGCAAAGGACAAGAGGAAAAACTGTATTGTGGGCCGTAGAAGGCGAGCCCACTTTCCACACAAACGGGCCTGGATATATAACTGAAAGGAAAAAAAAGAAGAGTTTATTTACATTTTGCTTAATGGAAAAAAAAATCAGCATTTAACTCCAAACAACAATTTTCCCTGATCAAAAAAAAGGTAAAAATGTGAATAAAAGAAAAAAACATTTTGTAGCGCAAAAAAGAAATTCTATATATCCTCAAAACTCAGTGTTTGGTTGATTTAAAACTTTTTTTCTCAGGTAGTGCCAGTGTATTCAAACTGGAGCAGAGAAAAAAAAAACAGACCGCCTCTGCTGCTGGACAGACCTGGCAAAACTCTAAATCACAAGACTGGATGGACAGAAATACAAATCCTTTGGCAGGTAAAACAGTTCCTTTATATGTATTTCAGCAGTGTATTTAGCGGTTTCAGTTCAGCTTTTAAAGGAGAACTATGGGGTAAGTGTTTTTCCTCATAGTTCTCCTAAGGGTCACGGGAGGACATATACTAACCTCCTCCCGTGACCCAAAGCTCAGTATATCGTGAGCTATAGCTCGTGATATACTGAGAATGCCGCAGCCGGGACGGATGCCGACATTACTGTCGAGATCCACCCAGCTGCGTGAGTGACAGCGGGCTCTGCCTATCTAGAGGCAGAGCCAGCTGTACCCGCCCCCTCCCCGTCCGTTCTGCCAGTCAGCGCTGGAGGATCGGAGGGGGGAATCCCTGCAGAGAGCCGTGACTGGCAGTCACGGCTCTCTGCAGGGAGATGATTGAGAAGTGAGCGAGCGACGGTATGTGTTCCCTCACTTCCCGATCTATTGAGCAGACGTGTGACAGCTTCACTGTCACGGGTCGGCTAGAACTATGAGGCTGAATGATTTTCACTCACCCCACAGTTCTCCTTTAAAAATATATTTTTGAATGCAAGCAGTATACAGCCTTAGCTTTTATAGCAGCAGTGAGCAAAGCAAGCTTTTGTGAAGCTTCCGGACACTTCAAACAGTTTTGCTAAAGCCTTTGAAGGACTTTTCAGTTACAGTTTGGGAATGTTAAAGTGAGACTAAACTCAGGAGTTAAATCTTAAAAATGGATTCTTGTACCTTAATTATTAACAAAACTGAATCGTATTTGTGTATCCAGAATAGTTATGGTACAGTACATGAATGCATTTTTAAGATTTAACTCCTGAGTTTAGTGTCACTTTAACACAGATCTTCGTGGGAGTTCTGACTATGCCTTTAAAGAAGCTGCTAGCAGGCATCAGCAGGGCATTTGTAAAGCTTACTAAAGCCTGCCAGAATCTTGTTTAACTATTTGCCGTCTGCCCGTTGTAAATAAATGGGCAGACGGCAACCTCTTCCTGGTGGGTGGTCGTACCTGCGTGTAATTTTTTTCCCCGCTCTCGCGCGCCCCTTAGTGCGAGCAGAATCCCACTGTGCATGTACACAGCCGGTACCAGCTGTTACATACAAATGTTCAGGCGGCTCTAAAGTTGTTGTTTTTTCCCTTTCAAGTGATGTACCTCCACTGTACAGCTCACTGTCTACGTATAAGGCATTTCAGTTTATTACTCTTCAAGACACTTCAAAAGAGTAAGTATAACATTTCTAAAACGATATTTTTGAAACATACCAAGTGGCAATACCAAGTTTTTCAAAAGGTGCTATAATAGCAATACAAAGTATTGCTATTATAGCACCTTTTGAAAAACAAGCTATGCAGTAGTGGCACAGTTATGCATCACAAGAGTAAAGGTAAAGCTGTAGAAATGCTTACCGAGAGGAACAACATGCAGTACATTCCAAATGAAGAGTGCCCAGAATAGAAAGACAACCTGAAAAAAAATAATAGAAAACATGAAATGAGAACACTTGTGATATTAAAACGAATATAAATGCAAAAATAATGAATGCTGTTAATCACTGCACCATGGAGGTAATGTGGAATTCTAGAAGGGAAGAGGGCATGTGCAGCTTGCCTGCTCCTTTCATGGGTGCAGATATATTACCATTCCCAGCTCCCAGTGAACTGTATAAGAAATCATTTGGATACCATACCTGTTTACACAGTTAAAAATGAAAATGCAAGTTACAAAATTGATATAGAAGCCATTCACCCTGCTCTTCCCATTTACAGCTAAATTGAGAAGAAATAAAAAGGCAAAAAAGCAAGTCGTTGTGGTTTTTGTTATCATCTGTCCTATATGCAGGCTCCTCCCAATTCAGAATCCCCATCTAGTGTTAAAATGTAGGGGAACATCTCCCACCCACATCTGCAGTGTACTTTCAGCCCCACACTGACTCTAATAAGATTCCAGCACATGTTTATTGTCTATTATCACCAAAGTCACTGTGTGGTAAAAAAAAAAAAAAAGAATCTTCAGCACTGCCTCTGTAACAAGATCTTTAGAATTGTGAATTAGGTGTTCAACTTTATATGCCTGAATTGATTTTGTCTTTGAATTAAGCAGTATCAGAGTTGATATGGCACTTACCATGTGCTACTGCAAAAGCCAAGTGTCTTATGGTAACAGGTTTCAGCATATGCAATGAAAGAAAACAAAAACACACACACACACACACACACACACACACAAACGAAACTGAAAACTAAGGTAACTGCTTATTTAAATATTTTTGCTCATGTCACTCACCTTGACTCAGTTACATTGGCATGGCTTCCACGACATTCAATTTCTGCCACATATCCAGAGCAGTTAATCGTTTTCCAGTCGGGGTCACACACAGCCAAAAAGTTAGGGCGTGGTCGGCCTATCATGTACTTGGCTAGATCCGTGAGAGACTGGCTGACAGAGGCACCAAAGAGAAATGTTCCTATCACCTTGTAGAGTGCAGCCACATAATTGTTACACTCTGAGCGGGAGTACAGGCGCTTTGAAAATACCATATACATTTCTCCTGAAGTGATCTGTGGGAAACCATGAAGAACACAAACAGTCATGAAATCACCATTCTCTGCTGTGAAGGGTAAAAAATAATTTGTATACATTCAAAGCAACAAGTAAATAAAATTAAAGGGATATAAAATTGTTCACATTTCTTTTTCCTTTATATCGGGGCCAGACTTTAAAACACGTTTTGTATTCTTTACATTTTTTTTTATGCCTTCGTTCTCTAGTGGTATTCAAACCGCTACCCCCAACCCCCCATGTACGGGTTCTTCCATCAGCTAGCCGGCCGCTGAGGAGGCACCTGTGTGTGCACGCACCTAGCTGTGTGTGTCTATAGACTCACACACAGCATGCGGCCTGCCACTCCCACACCCTTGCAGTCACATTTTGAGAGACCGCAGGAGGAGCCTATGGCTCCTCTGCCCTCAGTACCCTCGCCCAGGAAGTTCGAGGAATGCAAAGTATCTTCCTGGTCGCGGAGGAGGATACAAGTGACCACAGGTAAGTGTAGGGGGACGGGGGGTTTTAGAAAAGTACTGGGTGTTTTTTACCTTAACGCAGAGAATGCATTAAGGTACAAAAACGCTAAGGCTTTTAGTACTACTTTGATCTACAAATTTATATTTTTGCTGCATCTTTATGGCATTGAAAAGGTGTTTAAATCAGGCGATGACAAATTAATAAGGAAATCAGGAGACAGCCTTTTGAATTTAGGAGCCAGTTCCATTGACAACTAGAGAGAACCTTAAAAGTTAGGCTCCGCATATAGTAAACTGCGTGGCTTTATGTCCCTTTCTAGAGTCTGAACCAGTTGGTCCTTATTTATTTTCTCAATTTGATCACAGTACCTCTAGAAGCCATAAAAGGTAGTAGCATCAAAGAGAAAATATCTAACATACACATTTACTCTCATGTCTGTAATGTGTGTGGCTGTGCAGGAATTCAAATTATACAAATATATAACAACCTGATACATTAAGGGATCTGGGAAACAAATGACCCCAAAAGTTTGAAAACACAGCCAAAGAACTTCATAATATAGTACAAAGGGAAAACGGTGTTGAGTGACGTATGTAGGGTGCTACAGCTGACCTCCCCTAATAAAAGGCTCTAGGTGGCTAGCCTAATTCAGTAGTTTCCTTGCTTTCCAAGTGCCTAACATTGAACATGCATATTAAGAGTTTTGACTGTTTCGGGCCTGTAAATGCCAAAGTACTGATGCCAAAGGTTTAGAATGACAAACAAGCAAATAGCGTTTCCACAAGGAGGTCAGCATTGGCACCATTTATACTTTTCTCAGCGCTGGTTTTATTAAACTTTGTTAAAGGATGGCTATTTACGGTCTGCAAAATTATCATTTCTTTTCTGCCCATAATATGTATAATTCCTAATTATGTGCAGATACTTTTCCTAACCATAAACCACTACATTATGTGTCTGTAAATACGTACAATTATAACTGTGCAGGAAATGGTGACTCCAGCCATTAGACCATGAGTTATGGTGTCATCTCGGTATGGGTATTTAATTGATTCATCATCACAATAGAAACCTCGTTTGTACGGCCTGTTTACCAGTGTCATAATAATAAACGGCAAGGATGCTAAGGGCAAAAAAAGAAAAAAAACACGGTTAGTTACATCAAGTGTGAGATTATACAGTGGCTTTAAGCATTCTGGGAATAACTAATAAACCGGTGGACTTCTTTCTTGCACAAAATGTTATACACGTGTTTAAGGACCTGTAGCTCAAGAGTGACTTCACCAGTCACACAGCAACCACATTCATGCACTGGCACAACGAAAGAGAAAAATGATGGGAACTGAAGGCAGCATTACACATATTACTTCAGATACTTTGGAAAGGGTGAAAAATATAAGGCGGGAGGAAATTGTACAAAAAAGGAGAACTCAAAAAATGCAAACAAACTTTAAACCATCTGAAAACAGAGTGCTGCAATTATAAACAAATAGTTTGGTGTTTGATGTGTTAAGTACATGCAGAGGGAGCAGCACATGGATTACTAGGGCAAGTCTAAACTTTACCTCTCCCTGTAGCTGGTCTAGCTGGTTTTGACGGATGGAAAAAGCACCTTGTTCTTACCCGTGTCTTTCATCCGATAGTAGTAATTGGCACAACTACTACTAGCTCACAAACCCTGCTTTGCAATATATACATCACCAATTCTAGTGTTTTAGGCTAGCTTTAAAGATGCTGATACACTTACAAAATGGAGACACCTTCAGCCTAAAGGACATGAAGGACCTAACCCAATTCTGGGTCAAAAAAAATCGAGCAGATATAGGAATTTATCCCATCTATACAATATGAAGGCTATGACAGCCTTGATAGTAGCTGGCTGCCCATACATTGACAAACTGTTTATGAGGTGAGGCATACATATTGGCTTTTGCTGTTGACTGACCCCTCTGAGTTGTAATCAAATAAACCCACTGTAACTCATCTGTGCCTACTGAAAGTCAGGAGGCAAATCCCACTGTTCCCATGTCACCATTCAGCTCATTAGGTGATAAAAAAAGAACATGGTCACACAGAGAGGATCCACTGTGATAGGAGAGTACAAGTAGTAATTAAGCAGTATCCAGTGAAGGAAGGCCACATATAAAAACGTTCTAATCATAAACAGACACCTAGTGAGAGTCTGTGTTCAGAGATTAGGTCACGCAGTAGCTGTGTCACGACTCTAGGTATGAAGATAGCATTCTGCCAGTAAAAGACGCAGCACCATGGCATATATCTGAATGTCCAAGGGGACAATTACCTTAGCTCAAACAATATGAGCACTCTTCGCTAATAGACACAGGAAACTAGAAAACAGCATAATGTAAAGCAAAGCATGAGAAGGCAATGTACAAGGATGCCTTCCTTATTTTCTGAGGTACAGTACAAAGGAAAGTATTAGAGACTGGGTGGACTAGAGGTCATAGCTTTCCTCCAAATAATGAGTGCTCTTGGGCAATAGACTCAGACACAGAGGTCTAGAAACAGCACAATGTAGAGTGCAAGGTGCAAAGGTAACATACAGGGATGCAGAGATACATTTTACAGGAAAATTGCAGAGAATGGTCATCGAGAAGGTCGATATTAGCTCCCATTCACACCTGGGTGTTTTGCTGCTCTCAAAGCTCAAGACAAGGAATCCCATCCATTTCTATGGCCCCTGTTCACACCTGAGAGTTTTGTTGCAAGCATAAAAATGCCTATCACTGAAAAAGTACATGAGCTACTTTTTGGCAGATTACAGCGCTTTGTTGCACCAAGTTTCCTGTTGAAGTAGCAGCTTAAACACCTTAATAAATGTCATAATTGAAGAGGAAAAAAAACATCTGGGTACTGAGAATGTTGATAGAGAGGGTAAAAATGTATGTAGAATTTTCATCAACTGAGCTGAGGAGGAAATGTCCAACCTCCTAGGACACTGGCAAAATCCTGAGGCATGGTGGTTGGAGGAAGGGTTATACTGGGGCTGACTTAACTGTTTTTTGTTGTGCCAGTGTCCAAACCTCCTGATTTTAGATGAATCCGTAATTTGTCCCTTTATAAATAGAGTTTCGTGCTTTAATGTAATGCTTTCCTGAACAGGAAATTATTTATGCCAACCCGCCTGTTTTAATGAACTCTCAGTCCGGATCTATTAGAATGGCATAAGACCATACAATCACAATAACCTCAACCTATTGAACCAAGGTAATACGGCTGGACATGTACGATTAGGCTGTCCAAGTCTGGACAAAACTAGTGCTTTGGTGCTTTTGTTAAACATAAGCATCCTTTATACTTTCTGAAAATCTGTCATTTCAGAACATCTCGTCTATGATGCCCAGAGAGAGAGAGCACGGAGCCAGGAATGGACAAGCTGTAGAGAATGTCCAGTCAGCAGCCTCTGGCATTCTGGCTTTATCCCGTTCACAGTAAAAAAACAAAACTGTTTATGCCTAGGGAATAAAGCTAACAGAGGTTCACTGTCAGGCACATCTGAATTTAAAATCAAACCTATACAGAAAAATAAATGCAAAGTTATAAGAAAATGCATGTCATTTATGTCTCTTAAATATTTGTAATGTCGGGTTTCCATTTTATTTATCCAAATAGCCAAACAGAACAAAAAACAATAAGTATTCTACATGAGCAATACTGAATATTTACCTGATAAAGAAAAAAAAGTTTATCAAAGCTCAAACAACAACCTATTTGCCAGCTGTACACATTTATAGCATGTTATACAATTGTGTTTTGCTTCTTATATGCATTTGTAAAACAGTATTTACATTTTGAATCACATCCTTAGAGAGCATTGCTGCCATAAATCCCATTACTTTGCTTCTGTTCCTCTATACTAGTCACCTTGCCATGTGGATGGCAAGGTAAATGCACAAACAATCCATTTTCCATAAAAGCACCTAAAAGTATACTGTGTGATGTGTTTTCAGAGTCTGACACCCAAGTACACAAACACTTATTTATTGGCAGAATTGGTAAAATGGTAGTCACTTTTGCTGAATCAATGCCACAAAGCTGTCCACTTACAATATGCCAGAGAGCATATACAGAAGCCCCAAAACGTCTAGAACAAAATCATGTGTGTTTTAAGGGGGCTTTAGTAAAAAATTGATGCCAAGATGAATGCAGCATATTATCAGAAATTTTTGGAGGAACAATCTGGAAGCTGCAAGTGGGGTACACTTGGACTTTCCAACATGGCAATGATCCACAACATAGAGGCAAGTTGACTATTCAGTGGCTGCAGCAGTAAAATAAGTGAGGCTTCTGGAGTGGCTTATCACAATGTGCTGACTTCAACATCAATCAGCCACTTTGGGGAGTTCTCAAACATGCAGGCCAGGGTAGACAACCGAAGAATTTGCAAGACCTGGGGGCTTGTTTATATTGTATCATTTATGCAATATAGCAGGTCTCAAAATTTCCACTCGCCCCCTCACAATTGACGAGTGAAAATTGTGTGAGGGCGAGTTGAAATTCATCTGGGGAAAGGGTGCCGCCGGCAGGACCAGCGAGGGTGAAACTAATCGATCGTTTTAGTTCTGTCTTCTGTGACCGGAGTGAAGGGAAGACAGCCGCACTGATTATTCTCCTCCTCCCCGGCTACTGCAGCTACAGAGTGGCCGAGGAGAAGAATCATTTCGTCTGTCTTCCCTTCACTCCGGTCATCTGCAGTTTCCTCCGCCCACCTCAGCTGCCATAGGCTTGGAGGAGGACTGAAGGTGCTATTGGCTGGCTGGAAGGTTTTGCAGCGCAGGACCTGGAGGATACATCTCTGTCACCCCCCCTGTCCCAGCACCAGTACCACCACCAGGAGAAGAGGGCAGATCAGCTATGTGCATGGCAAGTCCCTGTTCTTTCTACACCGCTGACCTCTGTGCGTTGCACTGCTGACCTCTGCACTGCTGACCTCTGCACTGCTGACCTCTGCACTGCTGACCTCTGCACTGCTGACCTCTGCACTGCTGACCTCTGCACTGCTGACCTCTGCACTGCTGACCTCTGCACTTTGCGTCACACCGCTGACCTTGCGGGAGTTAAGGCTGAGGGGCCTGGCTAGTAGCTGAGGGGCTGAAATGTTGAGCCTTGCAATATAGAGTATTGAGAACCAAAGAAATGCAAATTGTTGATCAGAACCATTGTATTATTTTCTTTATTGCTGTGGTTTAAGGATTTTGCTATTCTGTGATGCCTAACAGTTTAAACTGGATCACATTAAAAAGAAAAGTGGTCTGCTTAAGTTTTCTTAAAGAATGTTTCACATCTTACAAATCCTGCCAGGGGTATTTAAACATATGAGCACAACTGTATGTATGTAACAAATTTAAGCAATCCATAATGGGCGAAAACAAAAGCCCACTTAAGCCCTATTCACACATAGGTGTCGTTGTAACACGTGTTCGCGGGCATTTGTCCCCACTGATTTTAATGGGTGTCGATCATTCACCAAAGGCAGGAAGAGTCAAGCAAGTAGCAAATTCAGCAAAAAAGCACATTTAAAAAGCCGTTTTTGGGGTGCCATTAACTACCGGTAGTAAAGGCACCGCAAGCATGTTGCACATTTTATAAACAGGCGTCAGAGTGCAAGCTTGACACTCGTTCCCGATACGCCTATATGTGAATGGGGACTAAATGCTTACAATGTTACTATAAACCTATAAATAACTATTCAGTTTCAACAGAGAAAAAAACAGAAGGACAGACCTCATGGTTAAAGGCTTACTTCACCTTAACGATCATATTTAAAGTTGCGCCTATACCGTCTCTCTATGTTTGGCTCCACTCGCAGAGCACCGGCATCTGTTAATAGAAACACTACCAGACCTATCTGCCACTGCAGCAGAGGGACTCGTAGATCTAAATGAAGCACAAGTACATTGATCTCACCGCACTTGTAAGTCTATTGTTTGCAGCATGTTGGCCAGTTATAGCTCATCCAGATGATTGTGTTGTATGGACACTTTCATACATATAGTGACTGACATCAGATGACAAGTGCTGAATATTTCTAACTGACAAGAATAAAAGGTTACTTCAATAAGTGCATACTATTAAACAAAATCTTTTCAGAAAGCTGTGTAC